ATCCTAGATTAATATGTAATAGGTTTTATTATTGTTATTTTAAGTGAATTAATAAATATTTAAACAATTTTTTCAGTTCTAATTTCAAATAGGATAAATATTAATAGCTATAACTCAGAAAAACAAAAGCTCTTGAGGCCATTGATAATTATTGAGAGTATAAAGGGGTGCTAAGATTAAGAAGTTTGAAAACCATTGATCTAGTGGGTAGTTAGGCACTTAATACACAAGCATACAAATAAGTACATAATTATAAACCATGGAGAGTGATATAAGAGAGAAGAACAAGGTGCTAAGAGAGAGAACCAGGGAGACCTATTAGGTAGAGAATGGTGTCAGAGAAGGCCCCTCTGAAGAAGTGGTTTTAAAGCAGAGATCTGAAGAACGTGACAGGGGTGAAGATTATTGTGGCCTAGGGAACAGCATGTGTAAAGCCCCTTAACTAGGGATGATCGCGGCTTGGGTAGAGCACAGAGATGAGGAGATGGCATGAGATGGGTCTGGCATAAGATAAGTCAGGAGCTAAATCTTAAAGGCTCTTGTAAATCATGTTAAGATTTTGGCAATTTGTCTGATGTAAATAAAAATGGCTATAATATGAATTACTGTGCTACGGTCAGATTCAAATCTTAGAAGAGAAATGATTACTGCTTTTGAAAAAGGATTGGAAGGGGACAGAGAGAAGGTGAGAGGAACACTTGGATGGCTAATTTAAAAGTCAAAGTGAGAGACAGTGCCTGCATCAGGAAGGTGGTGGTGCAGATGAAACTAGATTGGAGTTCTTGCTATCCTGTTGGAATGGAAGAGAAAGACTCCTAGGTTAAATCAATCCAACCCACTATGCTTAGTGACAGCAATTCTAACCATTGCAAAGATTAAATATCCATTACATCAATTTTATAATAATCTACTTTTTATGTGTATTCTGACTAAAATGCCCATATTTACTTTGATAATTGTATTGGATAATGAGACTGGATAAAGTCACTCTAATACCACCATCTTGTGGTCAGTGGTGAGAATTTTTCTTAATTGAGTTCAATAAATGAAAAAAAAAAAAAAAAAAAAGACACACAAAGTTCCCCAGAAGGTATACCAGTTATTAGCAGTCCCTTCAAGTTCTTCTTGGAAGGAGATGGGATATGGATACAGAATTATCCTGAAAATCTTGGTTGAGTGAATGGATGGGTGGATGGATGGATGGATGGATGGATGGATGGAGAGATAGATAGATAGTAGATAGATAGAAAGAAAGAAAGAAAGAAAGAAAGAAAGAAAGAAAGAAAGAAAGAAAGAAAGAAAGAAAGAAAGAAAGAAAGAAAGAAATAGATAAACAAACTTGATCCTCTCTGGTTGATTTTAATATAGAGTCATTGACTGAAAATACCATTTATTCATTCATTTATTCATTATAAAGAGAGTCCCACAAATTGTAGAAGCTCAAGGCTTCACATGAACAGGAGCTTGAAATACCTTTTATATAGGATATCACCTGAAGGCTACCTCCTCTATCTCTGGCTGCTCCTTCTCTGCCTCCTTTCCAGGCTAATGGCACCTTACTTGACTACTGGCACTGCAATGCTCCCTCAGGGCTCAGTTTTAGGCCCAGCTTTCTTCTTGTTTCTACTCTCCCTAGGCAATTTTATTCCAGACCATCATGTTACTTACCATTAGTGACTCCCACACATATTTCCAGGGTCCAAAACTCTCTTCTGAGTCCCAGATCCTTAGTTCTAACCCACTATTCTGCCTCTCCATGTTAAAGTTCATGTCTAAGGCTGAACCTGTGACTTTCTCCCCTCCAAATCAATGGAGGCACAATCTTTCACCAGTTTTCAAACTGGAAACTTAGAAGTCATTCCTGACTCTTTCTGCTCCCTCATCTCCCTTCTCCTGAAATCAGCCTCTTGCCTTAGTATATTTTACCCACTGAGCGGTTTCTCCTGAGTGGCCCACTTTGGTCTACCTTTACTGCTACCATCCTGGTCTGGTCATTTCTTGCCTAGACCACTGCTATAGCCTTCTAACTAGCCTGCATCCACTCTGGGCTCTCGCCAACCCGTTCTCTACACCAAGCCATTTTTTCAAAATGCAGATCTTACCAGGTGACTTAAAACCTTCCAAAGTTGCCCATTCCTCCTCATCTGCACTGCCTCGTGGGTCCTTAACCACCCCCTCCAGCTGCTGTTAAGCCACTCTCCACCTCGCTCTCTGCACTGCAGCCCTACCGGCTTCTTCGTTCCTCAAGCTCACCAGCACAGGGATTTGCACTTTCTCGTCCCTCTCCCCCTCTCCTAATAATCTCTACTCAGCCTTCCTGCCTCAGCTTAACAGTCTATTCCTCAGAGATACCTTTTCCTTTAATTTTCAGGCCTTTATTATAACATAGTACACATCAGAAATCTCTTCCCTCTCAACGCTTATCTCAGTCAGTTTTCAAGTTTATATTCTTGAAAGTGGTTTGTTTTATTAATGTCATCTCAAAAGAGCCTAAGAGGGGCCATGGCAGGTTTCTCCAGCCCCCAGCACAGTGCCTAGCACACGAGAGAGATTTTAAAAGTTCCCGGAATGAACAGCTGTATCTCAAAAGCAATCACAACAGTCCATAGTATATATCCGTAGTTTGTATTACTCATTTATAAATAAAATTGGGTCCAAGTGTGACTGAAGGTTGCCTGTAACCTGGATAGTGCAATGCCAGACCCAGCCAGTGTGAGGTGAAGGGAATCTTAGGCCTCCCTGCCCCTGGTCTTGTCTCACCTGGTCTTCTGACACTGGTAAGCATATACTTGAAGAAATGTTATGCACATCTTCTTTAAGAACAAATAATAATTTTGAGGAACATGTCAGTCCAAGTTGATATTTGAGAAAAAGAAAAGTATTTGGCATCTTCTCAAGAACCTAGTCCCACTAAAGATAGTTTAGGTAACTATTCAGAAAAATGATCTCCATCTTCAAGCAAATAGCTTTCTCCTACTCTATTGTTTGAGAAGCTGAAAGGACACTTAAAATCATTTTCTTCAAAGCACAGAGAGTTCAAAGGTGAACTGATGGTCTCAAGAATTTCTAGCTACTTTTAAATAACACGTTTTCACCTTAACAAAAATTTCAAGTATTACTAGGTGCCATGTTTATAAGATAAAATAAAAAACTTATTTTCACTGAACATTGACATATGAAGTGATTAATACCTTCATATATAAAAATTATTATGCCTTTATATATAAAACATAGATACTCAATCTCGCCTCTATTATTTCACTTATTTACAGGTTTGTCCCAGGAATAATTTAAGACAGATTACACCAACCTCTAAGATATGGCAAAATAGTATAACTGAAAAATTAATTAAAAATTTAAAGGAAAAATACAATAAGGACAGAAAATAAATTTAGAAATGAGGTCAATTAAAAAATGCCTTTTGTAAGAACTAATACACTGCCAGGCAGTACTGCTGGCTGTCTGCACAGTGGTCATCCTACCTTTCTTCCTTCTATGGGAGTCAAGTGTCCTATGCTTAGTCCTAGGGGATGAACTGTACTAATCTAAGAGGGTCATGGACCCTTACCTGGACCATTCTTGTGAGACACTTGCAGTGAGACCTTTCATGTGTGACTGGGAGCTCTCTCAATCATGCACCTACCACAGTTTCCTGTTTGGCTCTAAGCTTTCTGACAGTCCACTCCAAAAAGGGCATTTAGTTAGAAATAACTCAGTGGCCATAAAACAAAAACAGGGCTGCACCTCAGGAAAAGTGCAATACTTCTATGACTAAGACCAAATGAGATGAGGGTCTGTAGGGATCCACTCATTTGTCCGATGTATTTAAAATCCCAAATGAAAACACCAGTGATAAAGGTACTATAATTGGCAATCCAAGCCAAACTGGCTTTCTCTTTCGACATAATTTATTATTCACCTTGAAGTTTCATTTTCCGTATGCTCCTTAATTTAAAGCATTTTTCCTTGAGCCAAATGAATTAACTTGGAAAATGGATACAGAAAAATCATTCTTTGCAAACTAACATTTGACTTGTGAATACAAAGCTCTAAGTCTATGAGTTGGTAGACCAGTGGGGAGGTTAGGAAAAAGTTCTAGATGCTTTCCATGTACTTCTTTAGAAAAACTATACGTCTTACTCTGTGTATTTCCTCAGGAAAAGTATAGGCATTCCACAGGACAGCATAAGATCATATTCTAAAAAGACTTGTTTTCCCTTTGAACCATGACATAAGAAGAATTATATTTTTATATATAATTTAGTTTCATGTAGGAATCAGACTTCTTTCTCAGTTTATCTGTTTGTCTAGATATTTATATCCAGCTTATAAAGAAATAAACACAACACTGATAGAAAGAATGTCTCCTGTGTGCTTGCCATGAACCCACAAGTCAACTGCCATAGATGCCAGCCTACTACAAATAGTCCCTGCTTTGAGTCTGAAGAAGCCCACTTACTATTTTAAAGACAAGAACTTGCTAATGTGGGCACATGAAATGTAACCTTAGAAAGGAATGCTCTCCATACCAGGAAGTCTTTGAGAAGACTTGAGTTCTTGCCATAACTGAAAATCTGATGATGCGTTACCAATGACTTCATCTCCAAAGAAAAGCTAGCTGCCCGCTTCCATAATCCTCGGGGAGAATCACACCAAGAAAAGACTAATTTAAAAATAACATGCAAGAAAGAGACTCCACTCTCTCTTTTGAATAAAATGAAGAAACTAGTTTATGTGAGTATAGAGAATATACCTTGCAGACCCTGCTGTAAAGGCCTATGCTTCTCCTATGATACTGAAAGCAACTGCAGAGGGCTTAACAGAGACAAACGATAACAACAACAACAACAACAACAACAAAGGAGAAAAACAGCTAATGGGGTTTTTCTGTGGGGCTCGTGAATAAGGAGTATAGAAGTGAAATGGTCTCTCCCCAAATTAAGCTTTGTATCCCAGCACTTCTGATACTTTAGACTTCATTGCACATCTTGGTTTTCTCCTTAGAAAAAGGGAACACTTCCATTCCAGTCGATGGTGGCCTCTCTCCACTTGGTTCTGATCACCATCTCCACTGGAGAAAACCATTTTCCTGGTCTCTTTTCATCCTCACATTGGTCCCTCTCCCAGTGATGGGAGTGAGTATCTGAGGGAGGAACAGCTGGCATGTAGACCCCAGCCTATGCACACCATTCCAGGGAAAGCCAGGATGGAAGGTAAACAGGATGGGTGGGTGGGAGTTGAGCTCAGCAAGTTGTGTTCCTAGAACTAGTTAAGCAGACAGGGATGGTGTGTAGAAATGTCCCACACAAAACACATGTGTGGTAAATTGAGCTGTTGTGTATTTTGGAACACGAATATTGATAAGTCATGTAATGCACGTTCCAACTCCATGATAAAACACAGAGGCAGGTGTAGGTCGCTGGATGGTATGAGGGAAAAACAGCAAAAGAGGAGAACTATCACCTCTCAATGCTTCTAAGGATACTTTTGCATTTCTGGGTGAAGGGTGAGGTATTCTAGTGAGATAGTTAAGAACAGGATTCAAGTCCCATATTTGTTTCATGTGACATTTGAGAAGGTGCTTAACATCTCTCAGCCTTATTTATTCAATTAGTAACTATTTACTGGCCACCTCAATTTCCTCTGTGTAAAAATAGATATCATAGTATCTATCTCATATGACTGTTGGGAGAATTTAATGGGTTACTGTATGCAAAGCTTTCAACACAACACAGTACCCAGAATGGAATGCTTGTGATGCAGGTGAGCTAATTAAAAAATAAGGCTTTCCTCAAAGAAGAGAGTAAAGTAGAAATGATAATATATTTTAAGGAACACATTGTCAATGTCCCACTAAATTAAATGGGCTAATATATATTTCTCATAATTAAAGAAAAAGAACTGGGAGCTGCATAGATAAAACAGTCACTAAGGTACTTCTCCAGATTTAGTTATAATAATGGAAAGTTGCTTAATATCAGGCCTGTAATGCCAAATGCAAAGAGTCAGACATTAAATCAACAAGGCTCCTTCAGTGAAGCCAAGGTACCAGATACAGACTCCCAGTCTCCTCACTTTTATTCCCTTGTCCAAAGGTCCAGTGTTTAAAGACGTGGTTAGTCTTTTTTCCTTGTAAGTTAAAAAAATTAAGGTTGAAATTAAAATGTAATGACCTGTGTGGTTGTTGCTTCTCTTTTCGGACTGGAACTTTCTAAATGGTGCAGAGACTATTCCTTGGTTTCATTGCTTTCCTAATGTCTAGCACAGTGCTTAGCACTTAGTAGGCCCTCATAAATGCACCATCAGTTTGGTTACCCGTGTTACTGGATGATCATTTGATATTCAGTTGTGGGATCGGATTGGCCAATTGGAACCCCCTCCCCGCAACCCATTTGTTTTTCCAGTTCTTTCCTCAGGCATTAAATGCCTTATGCTCAAAGATAAAAGACCCTGCGAAAGCCTTTTGGAAACTGGATTCCACCTTGTGTTTTTTCTCTAACCAAGAGGTTGTTTGTTCCTTTGTGTTACTTCTAACCCCCTGCTCTTATTTATAGCAGGTGTAGAATTTCCAGGTTACAGTGTGGGGATTAGGCCCATGGGGTTCATGCGTGGGTTTTTATTTCAGAAATCAAGCCTAAGCATTTTCCTGCAGATCTAGCATGAATATCCATCCACACAGCTGTTAAACATCGTCAGCCCATCTCTTTGAGCACATTAAAGCACACAGCACTTCGAGTCTGAAATGCTCACCTACTGTAAGACGCGCGAGCTTTTTCTCTGAGGACTGGCCACTGTAAAAGTGCAGATCAAAGAGATGCTCCATTTTCCAATCTGATAAGAGCTGCCTGTTTGTGCTAAAAAGGACACTGTAATTTCCATTGATGTTGCACAGCCAAATAGGTAATTTGGGAGTCTTCAGCATGCTGCCCACCTGGAAGGGGAGAATGGAGTATAGATGAATATACAGATTTTGCCATGTCACAGCAGATGCTGATACAACAACATAATCGAAAGCAGCCCTGAGGCATTTCGTCGCACTCATAGCTGGGCAGGGCACTGTGCGTGGAGTTAGATTTGGAATGAAAGCTTCATTATGAATGAATTTACATTTCTGAATGGTGTGATGTGGTAATGATGCTGTACCTTTTAACGGATTTTATAAAAAAAAATTTTGAGGATAGCCTCATGGAAGAAGGTGGAATCACCTCAGTTTGCTTTTGAAGTGAGGTGGAAAATATACAGAAAATTTTTTTCTACTTAAAGAGATAAACATAAGCTACATGGAAAAACCATCATTTCCATGTGATGCTAGGGAGAGCAACTGGACCCTCTGCCTTGGTGCATCTTACCATAACTGTAGGATCCAATTCTATCTCTTTTCTTCTCAGTCCTCAAAGTTGTACTGTGTGTTCAGGAACAAATTTTGTCTTATGGAAAATCCAGCTTTGAAAAATTACATGTTTTGTGAACCCAAGCATTAAAGGCTAATAACTTGACATTTTGATTTCTCAATAGTTTTATTCAAATCTCGTTTTTTCTTTAATTTAAATTCTTCAGTTGTGGGTGAGTGGGTGAATCAGAGATGCTTTTGTCTTTAAGCTTTTCACTTTTCACTACCACAGAAAAATTATATTACTGTGTTTGAAAAAAATGACCCATTTTAGTTGATCGTTTAAAAAGGGGTACGAGCCTAGAACCCCACCCTGGACCTGCTCATAGTGGGTGTAGGATTCGCGCTCATCTACTCATCACATGAGCATCTCACATGTCAAATGTGGGGCAAGTTCACTGGACGCATGGGAAATAAAGCACAGAGGATGTGCCATTGAGGCAGCCACTCTAGAATCCAGCTCCAAGTTCCAAATAACATTGTAAACATTCATTAGTTATAACATAAGCACTTTCTTTCTTAAGCCTTCTTGAGATGGCACCTTCTGTAAAAAGATAATATAGAATCAAACTATGATCCACAGAACATGGAATTATTAGGGCCGGAAAACTTGGATAAACCAATTAGGAAATTGAAGGCTATTTGTAAATGCCGCTCCTTTTGAACTTCAGCTGGATATTCTGGCTGCTTTTAAATCAATGAGAGTTCTTGTAAAATATGTCTTTGATGTAATAGAATATAGGTACATATGGTGTTGTTTCACACAATCTTTGTAATGTAGGCAAAATTCAACTGGCACTCAGAAAACATAGTCTGCAAGGTGCTGACACCACACTATTGTTACTTTATGCAAGAAGGCAACAGTTTTCTTTCCTGAATTCAAAATTATTCAAGATTTTATTAGAGTAAGAGGAAAATGAAGTACAGTTGACCCTTGAACAACACAGGTAGCAGTGCTGACCCCGTCGGCAGTTGAAAATCCATGTATAACTTTTGATTCCCAAAAAACTTAAGGTGTCCCTCATTATCCTCAAAGGATTGGTTCCAGGACCCCCATGAATACCGAAATTCACTGAAGCTAAGTCTACCATATCAAAAATTGTAGATAAATGCATACAGATATTTTATTGAAAAATATCTGCATATAAGTAGCCTGCACAGTTCAAATTCGTGTTGTTCAAGGGTTAACCTCCAACCCCCAGAGTGGCCATACAGAGACCCCGCACTGAACAGGCAGAGGCTCCACACTGAGAGATTCTGGTGAAAGAAAAATGTCCTGCATGGCTGTCATGGTACTTGGGCATTAACTCTCAGAGGCGAGCCCTATGATTACAGCTGAGAACACATCTGGTTTAAAGTGAGTCCTGCAAAAAACAAACAAAGCAAACCCCAGTTGAATTCAGGCAAATATTACATTCCCCCCACCTTTTTTTTGGGCAGACCACATAATCTGTTTGACTGGAATTTTTAGTTAAGAATTTGTATTGCTTTTAGATAGACACAGCTTATCAGCTACTTCCCCCCGTCCTCAAGCAGGGTTCTAAATATGTTTTATTGGTGAGATTCCACCAATGCAGAATTTGTTCATGCTGCCTCATGTTGCCATGGTAAAAAGGAAATTAAATTGTGATACAGTGGTGCTATAAATAAAATACCTTTCTTTTTAAGTTCACTCATTGTGTAATAAGCCCAATAGGTTCGCATTACATACAGCAATCAAGGCTTTTCATAACATGTATCATTTAAGTCAGTGTAAAATTATAAGGATAGGAAGAAGGGTAGACAAACTCTAAAGACTAGAAGGCAAGAATTGAGTCCATGTGATTCCTTTTTTTGTCATCTAGAACAATGGCACTTAGAATGTGCTTTTGCATAATGAGCTTGATATTGCAAGTCCCAAGACCCCAGTCTGGTAATCTGTATAAGAGAAAAGGATTGGAAACCTTGTGCTTTCTTTGCTGATTCCTGGCGAAGTTTCACGTGCATAACTGTTAATGGTCTGGCTCTCATCTCTGCTGCGTGGAACACAGAGTTGATATAACTGCTCAGCGAGTTTGCAGGTATGTAGTCATGTTTGCAGGACGCTTCTTCAGTGACTTAGTAGTAGAGTGCATTGGGTGCAGCTTCATTTGGTACTTTTATGGTTGGATTTCTTTCTACCAGTCTCTTTAAAAGAAAAATGTAAAGAGGAAAGAGGGTACGACTGGGATGGTGGTGTGGTCTGCCAGGGCTGCTGGGGGAGTAATTCCAGCAAGACCTGAATGGCTTCAATCCCTTCTAAAAATCAGAGTTGATTGTTCTTCTCTGTGGCAGGTGCAAAGATAATGTGAACCTCCTAAGGATTTCCAGATGGTGTTAGATTCAAACTGCTTTATGTTTTCACTTAGGTATTAGAACTTCACACTCAAACCTGTACCTTCAAATAGAAAAGTGATGGGAGGCTTCAAAGTAGTGCCTCATCCCGTGGGTAGCTGGCTGTGTTTCATGGGCACCGTCAGTCTACTGGGCTCTGGGGGGCTTGCCATGTCATCTAATGAGAACTCTGTTTTTCAAAAATCTCGCCCACTGGGCTGTGACATTGGGATTGAAAGACATATGTTTTTGCAGTCTCTGCAATTCTATCGCATAGTAAGACGAGATTTAATTTGGGAGACAGAATGGGTTTCACTTCAGCAGAATCTGTTAGGCAGCACGTTGGTTCTCTTTTGAACTCAGAAACCTTTCTTTTTATTTTTTTTTCTTAAAAATTACTGGGATGACATTGATTAATAAAATCAAATAAGTTTCAAGTGTATCATTCAATCAGAAACCTTTCTTATGTTAGGTTTTAATGATCAGTTTATACGTTTCATCATTTGATTTACAGCATCCATCCTACGCAGAAGCCCCTAAATACTCATAAAGTGCTTTATACCCAGTTGGCGTATGGAGTCACCATGCCTCAGAACAGAAAGGTAGGGGAGTGACTGTAGGGTCTTCAAGCCAGTGATACTTAGAGCACTGCTCTAGAATCACGTCTGCGTCTTTCTTAAGCAAAATTCTGCTTTGCGTGGTGTTGCAATTCTATGATAAGATATTGTGAAATATTAGGCTTCTGGATACACTACAGTCAAATGGGTCTTCTGGTTAGCATGTCTCTGAGAGCCACTGAGCTTGTCCTGACAGATGCAGTCTGCCAAACCAGCAAGTAAAGGGGAAAAGACACTTTAGAGAGTTTGTGTCCCAAGGACCTGCAGTTCACAATCAATTTGAACTCACAACTGCTTTAACCTAGAAGTCAGTGAATAAAGTTCTAGCTTGTTAAGCACAGCTGTCATCCATTCTAAAACATAGCCATGATTTTGCCACCACTAAAATATTAGAGTACATCAGTGTGCCTATAATAGATATTAAAGACTATATAATACAAGTCTACCTCTATATGTGACTATATAGATAGGATAGGTTATAAAAGCACTTATTGTAAATACTTTATAATAAAGCATTTAACACTTTATCAGAAAACAAGCAAAGATGATAATGATAGGCAGTGTGGTTCAGTGAGCAGAATGTGGACAGATCTGGGGTCATAACACTGGCACTGACATTTGGGCAACTTACACCTTTCTCAGTTTGCAGTTTCTCATCTCTAAATGAAGGACCAAATAACAGACACTGGACTTAAACTAACACTGATTATAACTTTGAGTAGAAGTAAGGATGAAATGAAATATCATTGTGAGGGGCTAAAAGAGAGCCTGGCATAAAGGGCATACTCATACACGTGGTGTTAGCACTACAGTGAATAAATACACAGCTTTGAATACACAGCTTTGAATACACAGTAAGTTTTCATTTAACGCTGTTGACAGGTTCTGAGACTTTAATCAAAATGACGTATAATTAAACCAATGTTACCATAGACTAGTTAATACAAAACAAGAGTTAATTTCTTATGGTATCTCATCAACATTATAAAGAAACAATGTTGAATGAAATGACGTTATTTGAGGACCCACTGTACTTTCTTTGTTGACTAGTTTTAAGGATGATAAAAAAATATAAAATTATACACATAGAATTAGTGCGTAGATAATTATTTTAATAATATAGATGAGCTATGGATTGCTTTTATCCTAAAATAATGAGCTGATATAGAAAGAATAAAAAAGCACCTTCAGATAAAACTTTTTATGTGTACATGTATATGTCTAACATATTCACATATCTCAGAGTTCAGGTAAGAAACCTAACCACCAGCCTGTATTTGCTCTTTAATACATTTGTTCTGAAACCAAACTCCATCTGTATGACAGAGAAAACATAATGCACACCCTCAGGGTTTCAAGCCATTAGTGTACAATTTCAGGCAATTTTCACTGAGGGTAGGATTTATAGGAGTCTCCCTGGGGACAGAACACTGAATCCAAGAAAGAAGGATGAAAAGCCACATTAGTCACTTTTCAAAAAGATTAAAGCATTGTGGATTGGATTTCTATGTATATATTAACCTGAGCAGTTTCCATCTTTTGCCCTACTTTATGTTTATGGGCAAGCATTACAATGGTAGTCCTGTTTGGTATATTTTGCCCTCTTCCTAGCAGGAAATCTTATTTTTTACCTTATGCCCCACCCTCTTGACTGACTTTAAGGTCCTGGCAAATATTTGCTTTATAATTAGAGATTCTTTTAAGATCTGCAGATAATTTTTGTTAGAGCATGATTTAGCGGCCTTGTTGGTCTGAGCTGACTTGTGTAGAAAGAAATATGGTCCAGAGTAAATGGTAGCACTGGATGACTGCAAATTCCTGACTCTTTGAGGTTCTTGCTCCCTCTTTCTCCCTGCCCCCCCATATTCTTTGATATAGACTCTTTCCTCAGAGCAACTTAGTAGCTATTTAGAAAACACCTGTTTACTTTTAATTTAAGACAAGATCTGAAACTTGTTCCCAAAGCCTTGCAAATGTTACGAAGGAACAGAGAGAAAGTTGTCAACCTTTCAAATACTAATTGAAAGAAGATATCCTCTTTTGTGATGTCAACTGAAAGAACTAGTTTCCTAATTCTACACATCATGAATTTAATCATCTAAGCCTAATGAGATTTTCCCCCTCTTTCTTTTGGAGCAGTAGTTCAACCAGGGGCAATTTTTTCCCCCAGGGCACATTTAGCAGCATCTGGATACATTTTGGTTGTGGCACTGCGGGGAGTGGCGGGGGTAGGGGTCAGGGGTGGGCAGTGCTACTGACATCTAGTGGGTAGAGGCCAGGGATGCTGCTAAACATCCCCCCAATGCACAGGACAGGCTGCACTACAAAGAATTATCCAGTAGTGTTGAGGCTGAGGTTGAGGAACCCTACTCTAGAACGGAGGTTTTTAACTCTGGCTGCACATTGGAATCATCTGTGGGCTTTTAAAAATTTTGATGCCCAGGTGCTCCCCAGACCAAATAAAATAGCGTTATTTAATAGGACTGACTATACAATTTGTGAGGTCCAGTTCAGAATGAAAATGTGAGGGTCTTTCTTCAAAAAGTTTAAAGAATTTTAAGACAGCAACAGCAGAGCTTTAGACCAAGTGCAGGGCCTTCTAAGTGTGGGGCCGTGTGTGACTGCACACATGATTCTGACACTGTTCCGGGGATAACCTGTGTATTGTTGTTTTTAAAAGCTCTACAGGTGGGTCAAAGACTTTGCCACCTCACCAAAGACAATATAAAGATGGCAATTAAGCATATGCAAAGATGCTCCACATCATCTATATTATCAGGGAAATGCAAAATAAAACAACAGTGAAATACCATTTTACACCTTTTAGAATGGCCAAAATCCAGAACACTGACAATACCAAATGCTGGTGAGGATGTGGAGCAGCAAGAACTCTCATCCATCACTGGTGGAAATGAACAATGGTACAGCCACTTTGGAAAGCCATTGGCAGTTTCTTTCAAAACTAAATTTATTAACATACACTCCAACAATTGTCCCCCTTAGTATTTACTCAAAGGAGTTGAAAACTTATATATACACAAAAACCTACACATGAATGTTTAAAGCAGCTTTATACATAATTGCCAAAACTTGGAAGCGACCGAGTTGTCTTTTGTAGGTGAATGGCTAAATAAGCCATGGTACATCAATAGAATGATATTTATTCAGTGGAACATTATTCACAATATTCCAATGGAATATTATTCAGTGCTATAAAGAGATGAGCTATCAAGCTGTGAAAACACACAGAAGAAACTTAACGCATATTACTGAGTGAAAGAAACTAATCTGAAAAGGCTATATACTATGATTTATGTAGAAAGTATGACATACATAGTATTATTCCAACTATATGACATTCTGTGAAAGGCAAAGCTATGGAGACAGGAAAAGAATCAGTAGTTGCCGGGGTTTGGGGGGAGGGAGGGTTGAGTAGGTGGAGCACAGAGGATTTTAATAGAGGGCAGTGCAACCACTCTGTCTGATGCTATAATTGTGGCTATGTGTCATTATACATTTGTCCAAACCTATAGAATATACAACACCAAGAGTGAGCTATAATGTAAACTATGAATTTTGAATAATGATTATGTGTCACCATAGGTTCATCAATTGTAACAAATGTACCACTCTGGTGGGGGATGTTGATAGTGGGGGAGGCTGCGCATATACGTGGACAGGAGGCACATGAAAAATTTTTGTATTTCCACTCAATTTTACAGTGAACCTAACTGCTCTAAAAAATAAAATTAATTAACAGGACAAAATTCTCCAGGTGATTTCAATGTTCAACCAGTGTCAAAATCACTGTTTTCTAGCATTTATCGCCTATAATCTTCCTATAGCAATCGATGCACGTGTGTATATTGGCCCATGTATGACTCGTCTTTGTATCAGACACAGAGCCTCACGATTAGTAGAAGGTGAATGAACATGGCCAAATAAAGCACTATTCTTTTACTCCTTGTCATATCTTATAAAGTCTTATATGTATATGATCATTTTAGCTTATAAACAGGTTTCGGCACTCGTGCTTTTGTTTGCTCTTCACATCAGTCCTGTGGTTGCAGGACGAGTGTTAGGACACTTGTCTGTAGATGAGGAAACAGGCTGGGAAAGGTAACTGAGTGTCAGGGCAAGGCCTCCAACCAAGCCTCCTGGCTTCCAGGCCAGGACTGTTTCCAACATGCTGCAGGAACTCCCTCCCCTTTATACCAGGTTTCCAAAGTGTGGTGCATGTGTGCCCATTGGTGGCCTGTGGCACGAAGGCAGTGGTACAAGGGGTGAACTTTTAAAACAAAACATGTTTATTTATTTAAATATGTATTAGGAAAAAAATAGCATGTCAAGTTTGTGGCTCGTATTAATGCTGCAGAAAAGGTTAGATTCAAACCTTAAAAGTTAGCTAATTTAAAGCAAATAATAATAGGGATGGTATGGAGATATGACAAAGCTTGAGAATTACCTACTCAAATGACCGAAATATGAGAAAAACTGTTTTAAATCTTTGTCGTTTATAATGAGGATATAGTGAAATAACACTGTGAAAGAGCTTTGTAATAACAGACAAAGCACTAAAATTATTGTGGCTTTGTGCCACCCCCCTGCCCCCCGCCTGAAACTTGCCCTCAGTGTATTCTGCCATTTTCTCCACACTGAGTCTTAGCATGTTACTGGGCTCTGATGGATACAGCATGCTTAACCATGGATATCAAATGACCATGCATGGTTGAAAGAAAAAAATATATATGTATGTAAAACAAAATCTATGAGTCCCCTACTTTTGTCTTAGTTTACCTCATCAATATATGTTTATATCAAATTCTAAGATGAATTCTCAAATTATCTGAAACAAGTGATTAGAAACTTTGTAATAACAAATACAGTCTCTGTTTGGGGTATGTTCAAAGTACAGTCTTTCACATTCATACAGTGGGACTCTTTGCATCCATTAAATATGATGAAGAACATACATTCATTGACATATGAAGATACATATGTTAAATGAGAAAAGCAGGTTTCAGAAGAGCAGACTAGAACGTATTTATATGAGAAAGAAAGAGAGAAGGAAGCATTTTTGGAAGATTGACCCCTGGCGATGAGATTGGGTTTATTTTTTTTTAGCTTATCTTGTAGCTTATCTGTCATTTCTCATTTTTCTATGATGGACCTAGATTTCAAACTAGAGGAATAAGAAGCAAACTTTTGAAATGCATTTGTACACAAAATATACTAATTCTGCTATAATCACATACTATTGTCCTGATGCCTTCAGATGCATGGTTTGTGTGTTGCGAGATACTGATTTCATATAACACGTTGTAGCTGGAGCCAATAGTATAAGAGGAGAGATGAATAAAGCTATAACTGTAAAAGGACCTTATAATGTGTGAAGCTCTGTACACACAAAAGGGATTTGGGGCTGCAACAGGGAAAGTGAAGGGCAGGACAAGGACTGAGCAGCAGGGGCCTCATTTGGTGCTGGTGGTTGGGAGAGGTTGGGGACAGTGAGGCCTGGGAGTTTGTCACCATCATATTGAATTATACTCCAGCTGGTTTCAAGGCCACTCCAGAGAAGCAGTTGCTTTTCTCAGAATTCGCCTTGGCTTCTCTGGGTTTTAGAATAAATTTTTTTTGTGAAAATATCATGGAAGCATCTTTGATTTGTGGTTTGGGTGAGTACATTTGCTGTCTCATTTTTCTCTCCTGTTTGTTTTTGCAGAATCTCATCTTACTTAATTCTCTCATTGTGCTTTTCAACAGCACATTCTACTTTCTGGTTGTCAAAGGTTCTAAGTCCCTGAGCTGGAAAACTTTTTGAGAGGAGTTTCACACGTGGGCCCCCCTCAGTGACTCTTTTAAAGCTTTGAGTAATAGAATATATGCATTAATTTGCATAAATAAAGGATTGGGAGGATACCCATCAGCTGCTGGCAGGATTGATTTCTGAGAAGAGGAGCCTGTAGCTGGACGGGGAGAATGAAAGAGGACTTTCCCTTTAACTGTATATTTTAAATTAAAAAAATTATTTGCATATTAGTTGTGTTAGCTGTATTCTATATACATAAAAATATACAAAATAAAATATGAAGCAAGTAGAGTTGGATATTTTTGTATATACCCCCAAAACCTCCATGTATGTGTGTGTGGGGGGGGGGGCGGTGCAAGGTATGCAGGAAAGTAGTAAAGGTAAGTTCATATTTGAACTACCTTAACATAGAGACTTAAACAATGTCAAAATATTGACACCCTGATTGTGTGGCTGAGAACCAGAACACATTTACCTGGGAAAGCCTATCCTCTTCTGAGGTGTTCTTACTCCACTGTAAATAGCCAATGTCACTGCGGGTCAAGACTCCATGTAACATTTCTTGAGAATTTCCATTCTGACAGCCATTGAAGACATTTGGATTTGCTCTTCCAGTTAAAACCATGTTCAAAACTGCCTAGGGGACAGATTTTACAAATATTTACATTTTAGGTAGTAATGACATAAGGATTTAATTTTTTTCTTTTAATAATCAGTTTTCAATGACCATTTTTACTTAAAAGAATGAAAACACACAATATATAATTCTGGAAAAACATATGTCGTGAACATTTTGTAGGGTTCAAACAACAGGTTATTGGCTTTTTTCTGGAGCCATACCCCATAACTTCCCATGTGCCCCTCTCAGATCCTACCACCCTTCCTCCCTCTACATTTCTTTTAAACTTTAGTTTTCATAGTTGTGACTTAAGAAGCATAAAGCTAACATGTTTTTATAGTACTTTTCTTTCAGTAATTAGGGATTCCTAGTGGGTCTTGGCAAGATATTTTCTAATATTTCTAGAATCTCGGTGATGTAGAGCTCTCAGAAATAAACTAGGAAGGACTATAATGGAAATTGGAAGGTAGAATCTGATAACAAACTCAGGGTAGCATTTAGTCTTTCAGAGTTAACTTGATCACTCTTCATGTATGAGATAATATGCTTATTTGAAAATAAAAAAAATTAAAAAAGCCTAATTCAGATTCCATAATAGAAACTCAAAGTCTTCCTTCCAACCCACCTGCCTGCACAGAAAGCCTCCGGCCGTTGGTCGTAGCAGATGAACAGTGGAGACATCTAGGTCCTTCTGAAGCCTGCAGAGTGGGAGGAACCATTGGCATTGATCAGAGGTGATGATTGCACCTGGAACCTGCAGCCTCTCCTCCCTCCACCCCTGAACACAAAGTGGCAGTCACATGGGCTTGCATAGTCACTGTTCCTGCCTTGTGCCTTGCATGTTTCCATCTCTTATCAGGAAAGTTTCTAGTACTGGGACTGCCTATGTGAGTGGGAAAGCGATGGATGCAGTTGGGGGAAGCCAGTGATAAGTGGTGAGGGAGAAGGGAGAAGCTCTAGACCTCACACGTTAGAATCCTTGTGTGTGTGCTCTGATGTTGGGCTCTGTAAAGAAACTGCTCTGAGTGACAAGAGATTCTTGGCTTAGGGTGGTGACACATGACCACTCCAGAGAGCACTGGCCCAAGGCAGAGTTGAACAGGAAAACACCAGTTTAGGGGGTAAGCCCATTTCTTGGCTGTAGAAGGGCAGCCTCAACTGTTTCATCAGAGACTGGGGCTTGGATTTCTATCTTGTACAATATTAAAGTCAAAGTGGAATGTAGCTCTTGCTGTCACTCAGCGGGAAGTGCTGAGGCCGGTATGAAAGCCGTATGTGTTCTTGAAAGAACCTATCCACAAGACAGGAGGTCATACCCTAAAGACTTGGGTCAAGCTAGATGAGTTCCTTGATAGCATCGGGTATAATTCAAGGCAATGTTTCTGAAAGTATGGCATGATTTGGGGTAGTATTGATATGAGCATTTAAACATTTTTATAGTGATGTCTTTAATAACAGTTTTCTTTAGCACAGCAAATACATGATTTAAAGGATATTCATGTTTAGAAAGAAATTAATATATAAATGCATGTTGATTTAAAGAAAACTTAAGCAAATAATAATGTAGACCACAGAAATGTGATGGTGATATACAAAAGGCAAGTTTAAGGAGCATCGCTTTGGGGCTTGTACTTCTTTTCTGGGGCTCTCTACCTCTCTCTGATTCTCGAAAGCTTACTTTTCTCTTAGAGCCCAGAAGAAGGTTTACTTCTTCTAAGGAACTTTCCTTGACTACCCTATCTGCTGGGAACCCTTCCTCCTCCGGAATCCACTATGACTCCGTGTCTTTATACTTCATTTGGCACAGCAGGTACCACTGAGGATTTGCCCAGAAGCTCTATGTGTATCTCTTGTCTTTCCCAGACTGGAACCTGCAGGAGGTCAGGGCCATATCTTCTATTTGTATTTCCCACAGTGCCAAGAACAGGGCTTTGCATATCATAGGAACAAAATAAATATTTGTGGATATAATTTATTATACATATAAATAATACAATATTTTATATGAAAATTGTACAAATAATCTTTGGTGTTGTCTGCCAACATTTATTACCACAACAAGAAGAAATCTACTCCTGTGCCAGAAAAGCAGATTCAAACTTTCCTGATGACATCCACTTACCCATTAATATGACCAAACTGACTACAGGAAAGGATGTATCAACATAAGAATATGCACTAGAAAAAGAATAGCACTCACATTTCCAACAGGATATGAAAATATTTTCCAATAGAAGAGTACATGGTTTATGTGACCCCAGAGCTATAGGAAATACCTGTGCAAATTTTTGTAGAATTTACCTTTCAAATGTTCTGGAGAAGATGAGGCTGTAAAGAAACAGGATGACACCATGGCTTCCTTCCCCTTTGAACTGTTTGGAAAACAAAAGAAAATCATACTTGCCTACAAGCAATGCAGCTATGTACTGTGGGCATGAATTCAAGGATTTGCAGCTGGAGACATTTATCATCTAGCCGCTTAAAGGACATTTATTGTCTAGCTGCTCTCTGCTTCCCTAGATATATATTCACTCTCAAATGCATTTCTCCTTCTTTGTTTCGGCCCTGCTGAAGTTACCACCGTTCTCTTGGTTTTCAACCTATCTTTCTTTCCTCTACTTCTATCTTGTGCTTCCCTTCAAATCCCGCCTAAGATGTAGTGTATCTTTCCTTTTTTCCGGCATTGATCCTATCCCGGGCCCCAGTGCTGCTCTTGGCTGGCCCCCCTTACTCAGCTTCCCCTCAATCAATGCATTCCTCCTGGTTGTCCCTTTAAACTTAGGGGGAACAGAGAGGACTTATAGAAATAGCTTTGGAGTTATACAGATCTAGGTCCAGAGCCAGTTCTACTTCTACTGACTCCTACTTACTAACTTTGAGTTTCAAGCTCCTCATCTGCAATTATAGATAAAAATCCCTTTTCCCTCAGGTTTGTTGCAAAAGTGAAATGACATAATGCACAATACCTACCTTGGTTCTTGGAACATACTGGATCCACAATTAGTATCTGTCCCTTTCTAAGGCACTTCTCCTACCTTTTCTTGGTCAGGTTACTTTTCATCTCGCAACCTTCTGAAGGTACCCTGTGATCTACAGGATCAAATCTAAACTGACCAACCAACATTCAGGCCCTCTCATTAGTTAGACTTATCTTAGTTTTCTGTCAATACTCTACCTGCTAAAAAGAAGCTCCTTGGCTGGCTTTCTAGGTACCTGGGGCTAATGCCTCTTTTTAATAGGAAGGCTTCAGCTAAAATGCTGTGCTTTTCCATTTATGGATTCATTTGTTCCCTTCACTGTCTATGACCTGGCGGTGGCAGAACCCTCAGACAGGAGACCAAATCCCTGTGCCACCAGAACCAGACAGGAACCCAAACGGGCGTACTGCAGGGTGTGAGAGAATGGGGAGATGTGGGGCCCAAGGTAGACTGGAGAACACTGACGTATTAGTTTACTATCACTGCAGTAGCAAATTACCAAAAATTTGGGGGCTTAAAACAATACAGATTTGTTATCTTATAGTTCTGGAGGTTAGAAGTCCAACATGGGTGTCACGGGGCTTGATCCAAACTGCTGGGATGCCTGTGGTCCTTCCCGAGGCTTTATGGGAGACTCCGTTTCCTTAACTTTTCCAGTTCTAGAAGCCGTCCTTGTTCCTTGGCTTTTGATCCCACCTCATATAGCCTCTTCTCCCTCTGCTTCTGACATCACATCTGTTTCTGACTCCCATGCCATCCATTTCCCTTATAAAACCCTTATGATAATTGAGCCTACCGGGATAAGCCAGGATAATCTCTCATCTCAAAATCTTTAACTGAATCACATCTGCAAAGTCCTTTTTACCTGTTAGGTGTCATCATTCAGCCTACCACAACCCATCTAATGTGAGTCGCTTTCAGCTAAGTTATAGATCTAGTACAGCCAGATTTTCTGATTTGGGGGGGAAAAGCTAAAAATCCAGGTTTTATGTGGAATTTCTTGATTTTTTTTGACTGTCATTCACTGAAATTAAACAAACAAACAAACAAACAAACAAAAACACCATGTGGGTTAATGCCGCAGATATAGGTGTGTTGCTTTCCTATTGCTGTAACAAATTACCAGAAGTTTGAATGGCTTGAAACAATAGGAATTTATTCTCACAGGAGGCCAGAAGTCTGAAATTAAGGTGTCTGAGTAGGGCCAAGCCTCTCTGCAGGCCCCAGGGGAGGATCTTCCCTTGCTCTTCTTAGCTTCTGGCGGCTGCTGGCAATTGCTGGTGTCCCTTGGTTTGGGAGATGCACCACTCCGGTCTGTGCCTCTTTATCGCATAGTGTTTTTTCCTGAGTATCTGGGTTTATGTCCAAATTTCCTTCTTCTTATGAAAATGCCAGTCATTGGCTTAGGGCCCACCCAAATCCAGCATGACCTTATCTTAACTTGATTGTTTCTGCAAAGACCCTATTTCCAAGTCAGAGCACGTTTACAGGCACTGAGAGTTAGTACTTGGACATATCTTTTTTTGAGGGGGATGCAACTGAATCTATAACAATAGGTCTACTGCTCATATGTAGCCCTCAGACCTCTGGCTTGAGATTTATGCTTTACGATGAGACACAGGACTGGTATATTTTGATAGTGAATGGCGTTTAACAAAGGTCTGAATGAGGGCTGGTCACAAGGTGAAGCCCTGGTCAGGGAGTGCCCTTTAGAATAGATATGCATCGAGTTCTCCCTCACTCAGGAAATGGTGCCAGCGCTTCCCCAGTGTGGCCATCATCACAGTCAGCTTGAGTCAGCTAGGGTCTGCACCTGCGCCGTGCAGTCTGCTTCTGTTTAGGATCCTTATTACTTATTCTGACTCCACTCTTAGTCTTTGATGGGGAAAGCCCCTGTGAAGATTCAGCTCCAATCCTCTGATTCTCAACTTTTAAGATTGCCTTGCAGATGTAGGGGGCTTTCCTGGTAAACCAGACTCTCCCAGGTCTGAGTCGAAGAGATGGAAGACAGAGAGGGAAGGATTTGCCTCTTTTAGCTGGAAGGGTCACTTCTTACACTGCCCTTCTCTGTATAACCTCATTAAACGTCTCCTGCCCACAACAAAGAGTCCATAAGCAGGCGTCTAGCTTAACATTTCATCTCAGGTATTTAAAATCTATATACTGGTTTTATTAGTTTCATATTGCTGCTGTAACAAATTACCATAAGTTTAACAGCTTAAATAATATGAACTTATCGTCTTATGGTCTGGAGGTCAGAAGTCTGAAAGGGATTTACAGGGATAAAATCAGGATGTCAGCAGGCCTGCCTTCCTTCTGGAGACTTTAGAGAAGAATATATTTCCTCTCCACTTCCAGCTTCCAGCGGCCCTGCCCACAGTCCTCAGTTCGTAATCTCCACCTTCCATCTTCAAAGCCAGCAACAACAAAAAAAATCACATCACTCTTCCCCTCTTCTGCCCTCCTCTTTCATTTAATGTCCCTTGTGATTACATTGGGCCCACCTGGGTAATCCAAAACACTCACCCTTTTTTAAAGTTGGCTGATTGGCAATCTTAGTTCTCCTTTGCCATATAACATAACATTCGCAGGTTCTAGGGGGTAGGGTAAGGACATCTTTAGGGGGACAATTCTCCTGACTACCACGCAGACCTAAGAGATGGCTGGAGAGGTAGGCCAAAAGGAACCAGTTTAACCAAGATCATAAAGTTAGTGTGGCTGAGAACTCATGCCCGGTTTTCTGCCTCCATGGCCTTTGAAAGGAAGGAAGCAGTGAGTTTCATGGATTACACTTCCTCCTTCTGTACAAGCCAAAGTTGTATGGCTTCATAGTTACCGTGCTAATTGTCCTCTGTTTTCATATTGTAGAGTCCCGATTCTTCAGAAAATCACTTTTCAATCCTTTCTCCACAGAGGAATCTTTAAAAAAGCACCTTCCATTTCAACCATTACTGTCCTCTACTTTGTCTGATCCCCATCCAGGGGGTGGGGAAGAGTTGAGGGGGGAGGACATTGTGGGGCTGGAACTGATAGAAGAGGTGAAACAGGGTCACCTTTTTCAGAGAAGAAGTCATTTCCTTAGCATCAGTTTGAATGGTCATTTTAGCAATTTAGACTAGGGCCTTAGTTGTCTTACCATTTTTGCGTTTTATTCATTAAATGAAGCAAGACTTCTTTAACATTTTCTCTTCCCACGAAAGAAATCTTGGTATATGGCCTCTGTAGTATTATTCTCTGGGTTTGATTAGCCAGAAAGAAAAGTGGCGTTTGTGAGTGGCCTGTATGTGAACTGTGTCTTTCTAGGTTGTAGGGAGGGAGAGGTGGGCTTCTCTTTTTCTCATTCTTCTCTTTCTTAGCCCTCAAAAATGACCTGGTTTTTTTTAACAAGCATCATCAGAAATACACTTTATAAAAGAAAGAAGATTCCTGTAAGATCAGTGCGACATAAAGGAATTATCTCAACATTTATACACTTACACATTGTAAATGATCATAGATGAATTTCTCAGTGGCTTCTTTCTTTGAAAACTCAAACAGCTGGAGCTATAAATCAGGAGTAGAAGATAAAAATAAAAAAGAAAATGAAAGTTACATCTATAAGATGTTGAATCACTGTTGTTATCTCAAGGGATTTTTTTGTTTCATTGCAAAATTGCATTGCTAAAAACTGACATATCTTACACAAGGCCATGTAAAACATACATGGTAAAATGGAGTGGCCACCAGTCTCACTTTTATGTCCTTCAGTTTTAAATCAATATGATATCTTGAGCAGTAAAACCATAAACAAATTTTTTTCCTACTAGGTAGAATTTAGCTATGTTTAAGACAGTGAATACAGTTTAAGATGACTTCAGGTATGGAATATTCTTGATCATGGTGAATTTTAGGAGACATCTGTGGCAGGGTTTCCCATTTTGGCTGCCTGGATTACTTGCAACCCTGGATTCTTGCCTCTTTGAAAGGTGACTTTGGCCACATCAGACACTTCCAGAAGCATCTATTGGGCTCCATATACATTTGCATGGTGAGTCTAGGACTCACCGAGGCCTCTTCAGCCCTATAACTGGTAAAATGGGCAGGAGTGCACTCACCCGCTCAGTGAAACTGTCCCCAGAGTAGTCAGGAGTCGAGGTGATGTAAGTGTCCTCAGTGACAAGACAGATGGTGGCCTTCTGAGCTTCTCCTGCAGCCCACAGGATGCCAGCAAGCGCCGCAGCCAGGGCTCGGTCCTGCTCCTGCTTGCTTATTGCACATAAACTCCAAAGCAGGAGGTGGGGTAGGAAAACACTGAAATGAACTGTAACCTAGCTGAGTGCTGGGGCCTCTGCTTTTATGAATACTTCTGAATACAGGGTGGCTCTATTTGGTTCCTTCATCACCCTACACCATGAGAATGTCATGGAAGGCCTTGTCCTCTCTGCTGTCACTGGAACTGGCATCCTCACAGCTGTGTATTATTTCTCTTGGTGATCTCAGTTAATACTACCATATCTTACCACTCCCGTGAGTCCCACCACTGTCCTCTCTCCAGAGCTCCAAAAGGGATTGATCCAAGCTCTTTAACCCAATAACACAGGACTTTCCAAGTGCAACTCCAAACAAGCCTTCCAGTTTTATCTCCCAGGTTTGTTTTGCAAACCCTCTGCACAGATAGACCAGTCCCCTAGACATATTTTCCACATTGCACCTCCGTGCCTTTTCTCACGCACTTGTCTGTCTTTAATGCGCATGTCACATCTGTCTTCTTGCCTGATAACATCCTACGCATCATTGGAGGCCTACTTCAGGTTGCCCTTACTAACCCGCAGCTTATACTCACCTGGCACTTGTTGTGCCCAGCATTGTTGTGATCATTTCACACATATCACTGCATTTAACCCTCACAACAATCTGTGAGGTAGCTACTATTATGACTCTCATTTAAAGGTGAGGAAAGTCAGACAGAGAGGTTGAGTAATTTGCCCTTGCCCATTCATCTTTAAAGTGATAGAGCAGTGACTTAGATGCAGGCAGTCTGGCTCTTGACTCCCTACTCTTAACCACTGCACTCCACTGAGTAATAACTCCAGTCTGTCAAACCGCCCAGGAAGTGAGAACCAATCTTTATGTTGCAGAACTTTACTATGACTGTTTTCTCAATATTTAGCATTGACAATTGTTGTCCTGATGAAGAAACACATGATAGAGTTTTATTAATGAACTCAACAATGATTTACAAAATTCATTTGGTTCTGTGGCAGTACAGAAATTAGTAACAAGGAGCCTCATACTCCAAAACCCTAGTACGAGGCAGATGAGAGTAAGTCAAAGTACTACGAGAGTACAGAAGGAGAGAGAACTTGTGACTGTGAAGGTTTGGAAAGCCTTCATGGAGCAGGTCTATAACAGCAGTTGCCATTACCATGTATTTCATATTTGCCATGTGCCAGGGACTGTGCAAAATGCTCTACATTTGTGTAGCAAATATCCTATGTGTTTTGTCTGGATTCCCTGGACTCCCCTTTATTACGCTGGTGGACATGTCTCCCAGCTGCTGCTACTGCCTCCTACTTTTCAACTTTCTCTGAAGAACCACCGGGCCCAGAAGTGACTAACAGTTATGTGCCTTCCTGAAAAATGGCCCACAGCCCCTGCATAACCAGGGTGGGAGCTACCAAGGCCCCGCTTCTTTATCTGAAGTTGGGGCAATGACATCCCAGAGCTCCCCGGGATCAGGCTGAGGCTAGACTTTACCAAAAACACATTCTTCCTTAGCTTCTCTT